AATCTATAGATAAGAGATTATTTATAAGAGAGATTATTGTCAAAACTTTTTGTTGCTTATGAAGGAAGCCCAACACAAATTACCACAAGCAACAGAGAGATCAACGAAAGGAAAATGAATTACAAGTACATATAGCTGTATAAGCTAGGGCTATCTCCTGGCCACCTGGGCACAGCAGGTGAAATGAAGGCATTCAAATGTCTGTTTTCACAACAGAACATGTATAGATGTTGGGTGAGATGGCTGCTCTCAGAGCAAAACTCACATTCTATCATATTAACAGCCACAGAATGTGTGTTTTCTTTTGTTTGTTTTTGAAAATAGGCCCGAAAGAAGGTCTAAGAATTCCAATTGGGCACGATTAAATAATGTACCATCCCTTACCTGCTGTGAGCATAGGGGCTGGATATCCCGATAGTTCGGTTTTAAGTCATATGTTCACTTTGTTGGCCTGAGGCTCAAACAACATGGAAAGAGGTAAATATTTAAACCTTTTTATGACTTGGTATTTTCAAAAGCACAACATAAATGTTACCCAGTAAAGCTATAAGGAGAATCTCTTCCTCCATGGAAGCCAGAGTTGTACCCTTTCATTGTATGAGTAGTCTGTGTTGAATTCAGCAGAGGCAACCAGCGAGATGATGATGAAAAATCTACTGGATGTGACACAGTGGAGATGACTGAAGAGAGAGGATTGTGTGGAGAGACGCAGTTGGAAAACAAATAGCAATAAGTTAAAGAGGAAAAATAGATAAAAATAGGTAGACACAATTTTAGGTTTAATCTTCAAATGACAGCCTGGAAAAAAAAATTAACAAGACTTTGAGTGATAATGCACTGGCTCTTTGCATTTCAAATTTTGATTCATGCGCCAATCCTGGGGCATCCTTTGGGACCTTATCAGACATGAAGACTCTCAGGTTCCATCCCCCAGCTACTAACAAAAAACAGGTTTTTAACTACAATCCCATGTGATTTGTATGCACATTAAGTTTTGAGAAGCAAAGCTAAGATGGTGATTTCTATGGTGATGGGAATACAAATATGTTTCTAGGTGTGTAATAAGTGACAGATTATACAGACAACATTGCTGTATTTTATAGACCAACTTTTTTCAAGATCTTTGATATTAAAAAGAAAGTTAGATGTGTGAATAGAAATTAGTTTGGGTTGGGGACAGTAGGACGATGGGAATAAAAGAGTGAGGCATATTTTTCAGCAAATGAAGAAGGGCCAGAGAATGGAGAACAGGAAGAGAACACATAGAGAGTCCATTTGTTGAGTGAGTTTCTGGTGAAAGTTGACATAGGGCAGATCAAAAGCACTGATGGAGGAGTGAGACAGCGCTCTTCAAGAGAAGCACGATCTTAGGAAGAGAGAGAAGCTGGCTGTAACAAAGGGATTTGGGAACAAAGGAAAGAAACATGAGCAGGTCTGTTGTCTTTCAGAATGAAAGACAAATCATCTAAATTTGGAACAGGTATAAAAAAGTGGGGGTCTACCAGAGAAAATGACAGAAACTAGCTGAGATTGTGTATTTTGACAATTATTGAAAACACTACTGTGATTTTATGGCATCCTACCACAATTAAATAGCCTGCAACTGCAAGCAGAGAACAAGAACAATGGTAGTGGGAGCTGACCAGGTGGGAGGCTGGAAGGTTATGGAGTGAAGAAGCCTAGGATGGCAGCAATGCCTGCTGTTGCCATAGCTACCTGGGTTAGATAGTGGTTAGGTAGGTTGATGAAAATGGAAGAAATGAGGGTTGGGAGTTTGGAAGAGAAACCAGGAAATATCCCAATCAAAAGTTTTATTTCTGATATGACATTCTATGAAACATTCTGTACATAGAACGGTAGTGTTGGTGAGCAAGTTTTTAAAGTCATTAGAGAACATTGCTTTACCATTGCCATTAATAGAAAATGAATATCCAAATTCCATTACCATTCCCAGAAAAATACTATTAATAACTAATAAAGCATTTGGTAGTAATCTTTTTAAAAGGTTAGTAATGATAATATTTGTCTTTCTACCTCATATGGTAGAATCACTTAACCCCTAAAGGTTAAGACTTTATCAAATAGTTTATAGGTTATATGTTTATTATACCTATATTTTGCAAAAATCTTAGTTTTCAAATTCTATTAAATTAATTTTAACTCTTAAAAAGAGCCAGTAGGCAGGGCTTGCCAGTAAATTCACCTTTCACTTTCCCCAAAACTGGGATTACAGTTTTGTTCCTTCTCTCATCCACTTACCTATCATGCTACCTCAATTCTTTTCAGAATCAGCCTATTACCTCATCTTCCACGCCATGGAGGAAATAAA